AACCATCCTCGTTGACTAGATTACCGTTTTTTCTAAAAAAAACTGTAAACTGCCACGGGAAGAATGCTTGAGGATCGGTTTACATAGCTGCTCCTCCGAACAGAAGTTGGATACTAACGCAAGGTTAGGGTAGACTTTCACAGGGCAGGCAGCAATAATGCTTGAGAGAGAAGAAGAAATAGGATTGGCGACCGTAAATAGCCATTTCACACATACATTCTGTAAAATAAGTCTGAGAGTAAGGTTTGAAATTGAAGTGTCAACGTAGTATCCTTCGTCAGCAATAAAATTCCCAGCAGGACCACGCCTTTCCGTAAACGCATACACAAACGTCATTCCACGCGTCTAAAATAGTCCCATTCACAACGGTCGGGAACAGATGACCACGGTTCACTAGTAGCGTTTGGAACTAAGTGTTAGATTGCTGAATTATTTGCTTGAAAAGCAGAGAGTGCCTTAAATGGCCACCTCAAACACTGGAGCATTCTCACTACTCTGCACTGCATTGCAAATGAAAGTACTTGAACTGTTGTGTGTCGAGAATTCTAAACGGGTTAGCCAGCTATCCTTAACCTCGACGATTGACCAAAGGTCTGCCATCGAGCACCTTGCTCTGATCTACAGTTTTAACTCTCTAGAGAGCATCCTCCTTGCGGTTGGTGACGAGGGCTTTTGTCTGAATGGTTATCCGCTTTTCTTCTGCTAGTTCCTTGACAAACAATGGATATGACTCCGCAGTTGCGGGTTCCCTGGTATTGTTTAACTGTGAAATTGTGCGTCTAATGCCCGTTACTAAGTCCTCCGGTTTTTATTCGACTTTAAACATGCGTTCAACTCCTTTACAGGTTCACCAAGTGCATTCTAGCCTATCTCCTCTGCGCCTGTCCACCGATCTGGATCATCGAATTGCACCACCTACAACAGCTCAATGATGCCACCAAGGCCGCGATTCAACAGCAGGCGGCTCAGAAACAGCCTGAACTGGCACCAAACCCTTGGGACAAGACAGGTCTTCAATATAATAAGCCAAATGTAAGCAACAGTGTTATCCAAAACTGAATATTAAAGTTAGCTCCTCTGTGTATAAACTAACAGCAGCTTCAGAATTTCTTTGTTATTAGACTCAGTGGTGAATACTGACATCTCAAAACCTGCTTTTGTTGATAGCCGCTGCTTCATCTTGAAAACTGTCAGTTCTGACTACATACATGGTTCGCTTTAGATGTGTAAGTATTATAATGTAGCCTCAAAGCATCCGCTTCGGATCATGCAGTTCAAATTTTACGCTATTTAATAATGCAAAAACGTGAAATACCTTCAAATGACGGGCAGGTCAGGTGTCTCATTATCAATATTTGAGAACCTGACTATATTTGACATTCCCATATTGTGCAATTGTGACACGTTTAAGCTCTAGAACTCCACTGGCCTGATCTCTGAAAAATTTTTGATATGCACTTGGTCCTCGTCTACTTACCACTGAGCACCATTGTGTCAACTGATGCAAACAGTACACACGGTGAGACGAGATCGGTGATATAAAAGTTGTTTTTTCATCCACTGTTTCGGTTTCATATAAAATTACATATCATTCAACATAATATCAGAGCCAACTATCATTTAAGCATGTTTCGGAGAATATTTACGATCAGATGGTAATAAAGTGTGCCGGGGTTTGTTTTTAGAAAACTTATCTTCAAAGGACTCAGATGTGGTGACTGAAACATGTATAACTCTTCCCTTCTTGTAAAACTCTCCGAATAGCCTGCGTCTTTAAATAACACTTTAACTGAAGGACTGAAGGTATTTGACTAAATTTGCAGCTGTGGTTAATTTAATTTTAGTAGCTAGGGAATTGTACATGTTCTAGTTTCTGGCAGCCTATATTGCCCGTATTTACGCCAAATTTGAAAAATGCACAGGCAGCTGCAGATGTTGCAGATATTCTTCTTGTTATGTTATGTATGCTAAGCCAGGTCTTGCTGTGCGCGCGCAGGCGGGTCTGCCAGCACTGTCAGCTAATGCCCCCACCCCATCTCAAGCGAGCGGTCAGATCAACGGTGGCTTGTTGCTGGCGGTGGGGGAGAGACTGTGGTGGGCTGTTGGTACACGTAGAGGATATGCGAGTTCCAGGAAGCAGTTCTTCTTCTGTATTGCGTGTTGGTCGCGCCAGCCACATGCGCCTTCTACCATCTCCGGTCTTATTAACTTCTGTCCTTACATCGGGCATATGTGTGGGAGTGGTCAGAGAATGGGGTAGATCAGGCGAGTTTATTTTAACTATAATTCAGCTGTAGTCACCGCGTCTGCTGAAGCTCGAGGTGGAAATTGTCGAGAGCGATGGTTCGACTGTCATGTATGCTAGAGAGAAGTCTGTTTATAGGCCGTGCGTGTACTAGGAACGACAGACGGCACAAATAGGGAGACTAGTTGCCACAACGGGACAGATGAGACGGAGAAAATGGCAAATCAGAACAAACGAAGGTCTGGAAACAGTCGTTTAGGCTCGCCGGTCGCTTGTTTAATCCCTGGACGGTGAGGTCACCACACCTAATATGGCATACATTGCACCCCTCCACCCTAAATAGAGGCAGCATCGGGAAGGATAGGGGTAAAAAAAGCAGTTAGTAATTTTCGCAATGAATTTCGTGCTGAAAAGGTCGGACAGGATTTCGAAATTGCCTCAATTCTCACGGGGTGGTACTTGTGACTTCTGCGGCACTTTTCGGAGTCGGCGGTTCCTAGATTCATGTTGGCATGATAATTAAAAGGGTGGAGCATTGGCTACGTTGTGGTCTGTGGAGGCGCAGAACTTCTGGCCGTTGGACGTTAGAATCAACATCCGAGATCGGTGGCAGTTCGAATTTCAAAAATTATTAACCGTCCGCAGCGACGCGGCAGCAAACTTCAGTCGTATGTCGGTGCTTCCTTTTTTTATCTTCTAAGTCTTTGTTTTGCCCTCCAGTTTTATGTTAGAAAGAGAAGACAGACAGGATAGTAGAGAACAGTCGACTGCAACAGTCTGTGTGTGTGTGTGCATCAGCCTCTGCGCGTGTGCCTCAACTTCTCAGGCTCTCTGTCGGCAGCATCATTTCGTCTGCAGCTTGTCCTGTGTGTTTGCAGCATGCTTTCGTGTGAACAGCAGAATGCCACCTCCTCTCCGTAGTCTCATATTTAAGGACAAGCACTCTTTGTGCCCTATGTATCTTCCTGTTGGTTCCTGCGCGGAACGCTTATCCGGAAAGCCGTCGTGTGATGCTGATAACCTCAAGGTGACACAGTACGGTGGCGCTGTTTCGTGCGCGCGTAACTCTTTGTGCCCTCGCGTGATGTCGGGACTCGAAGCTCGCGCGTAACCTCGCCCTTTGTGTGATGGCGCTATTGTGTGTTGTTTTCTCCTTGTAATCCTGACCCGAGGACAGCTAGAGTGTTAACTCGTCTTCTGTGCCGTGCCAACAGAATTAGTCCTCTTGCATTCGTCCTTTCTCCTAACTAACGCCGGACATTAGTTCGCTTTATTTACAAGGCACGTGTATACAGTTTATTTTGGTAACTATATTCGGTATCGTGGGTTCACGGCTGATGGCCATTTCATAACCATCCCTTTTTTGATCATGTTATAATAGGTAGAAGGATTCAGTAATTTGGGTGTGTGTGCGCTATTGCTGGCGTAACATTAATTCTGCAGACGACAAACGGATTGAGTAATTTGCTGGTATGCAGTAGCTTAGCAAAAAGCAGGACTGCTTCGTAGATGAGTCCGCTTGTGTCTCGTTGGCTAGTCCGTGTTTACCAGTCTGACCTGCACAGCCCGCAAAACCCATTGAAATATTCCGAAAGTAAAAAATATTGTAAAATCATGATTTGTTGATCGTGGCAACCGAAGGACAGGATTTGCTCGTCAGAAACGGATCAATCGACTTAGTGTGAGCGTCAGCCATCTTCCCATGTCCTTGGAATGACCAAAATTATCCTATGTGAATCCTCTTACAGGGTGACTGAGGCCAGGGCCAAGGTTTCAGAGGCACATTTGGTAAGGTCTTCTGTAGTATTCGACTTACGTGACATGCATTTACCATAGTTTCGATATGTTTGTCAATTATGGGTAGCAAAACAGCTGTGGGCAATTGCTTTCATTATAACAGTATCAGGAGAGTGCGGAAACCAAGGCAAACGCTCTTCTGCTCAGGGACCAAAGCATGAACTTACTCGAAATAGTTTAAACCCAGATTCACACTCCTTGTTGAGACAAGGGGCAATCAGCCCAGCGCAAACTTCAAACCAGCGTCACTTCTGACAAATTTTAGTGTCAGGGATAGTGCTGATACTGCTAAGACTCGGCTACAGCGATAGCCAGTAGTAGTAGAAACAGTAGTAGCCGTATCAGTCTCGGCCTGCTTGGGCTTTGTCTTCACACCTACTATAGGTGAGTGAG